CTATAGCTGGAAAGCCTGGAATCATACATTCGGAGTTTTCACTGCGCATCCAAATGATGCGTCGAGATATAAATTGCAGCTGAATTATAACATTGTTACACTTTTTGTGTGTGTTTTGTACTCAGGTAAATATGATGTTTGGGATGTTACTCTGAGTGTGCATGCATCCACACCGGGCAAGCTGAAAACCCTGAATATTAATAGCAATACAAATAATATACAATAGAATGATTAATACAATAAAATTCTTACCGTTGTTCTTCACTGTTGCAATCTACGAATTCTATATTTTCATCAGTGTCTGACGACAGCAATATTGTTTCATCCAGTTTAAGAGGAGCAGGACTGGTATATACATAAAAGTATAAAACAATTATTGAAGAAAACGAATCGATGTACTATTTATAGACCGAATCCCATTGATATGTCATTTATAGACCGAATCCAATTTATGTATTACCAGGGGAATAAGAAATTTTTCAAGACAGATTGCTTATTACGGTAAAGTGTAAAAGTTTAAAGTTTAAACTTGAAAAAAACTCCATGTAAGTGAATTATAGCCCTATGAAATGTGCAAAAAGCACCAAAGCGAGGCTAGTCAGTCTTCTTTGTTAAATCAGTATAGCATAAACTTATTTTAAAGTGTTTCTGAGACTTTCGCCTGTATTCTAAAAGGTCACTCGCGAGGTTCAATCTGAGCTTCTCTTGGGTATCAATGTTGTTTTTTAAAAGTGTTGGTCTTGAAGTATTTTATAAGGTGGTTAATTTCAAGAGGAGAAAATGTAAGAGAAAACTTAAAAGGACGAAAAAAGGACGAAAGTCACTTTTCGAATCGGTGTATAATTATGGAAAAAAACTAATGTCTATTCCAGGCAAGCAGAAAACTACTTGATGGTGGGGAGTTCTAGCACAATCTGTACCTTTCTTGTAACAATCTGTTGATCAATGTTCCACGTGGACTCGCAGTTTCGAAGGATTGCTGCATTTTGTCTACTTTCTTTTTTAAATTCTAAAGACAAAAAATATATACACAATATATCATCATTTATCCCGCGATGAAAAGAGCGATTGCTTTTTACAATCCGAAAATATTTTAAACTTTCTTTAAAGTTTTCTATTAAAGAACATGTTTTAAAAGCTGTAAAAGTTTACCAGACACCTTATTGTTTTCAAAAGTACCTGTTTCTCTTGTTCTACTTCTTTAAGTTGATCTTGTAGAGTTTCTATTTCTTTAGACAGTTTGCCACATTCCAATTCTTTTGTTTTGAGCTGATAGAAAAATGATGGATGACAAAATTTTTAACTATAGAGGGCACTCGTAGACTGAATATCTCCGCCAGCAAATAAGGTTATACAGTATATCATGCATAAATCATACAATGGGCTAATTACATATTCAGTTAACTCTACCCGGAAAAGCAATGCTAATTTCTCGTCACATTTTCATCCAGTTTAACAAAAATTTACTCAATTTGTCCTTGAGCAATGCCCATGGGTTCGTATACTGGTCAGAAAGAGTTAAATTCAAGGACTTTTCAATGCCATGTATTAGGAAATTCAAGGACTACAGGCCTGAAAGAAGGCGTTAGAAATCAGTAACGAGTGATGTTGAGCTGTTCACACGGCAACTTTAATGAATTTCTTTGGCCTTTGCAAGACATGAACAAAATCAATTTACAAAATGTCCAATTCTTAATGCCAAACAATTTCAGAAATTATCCACTGAAGCAAAAACAATTTAAGGACTTTCAAGCACTTCTTTATAAACTCAAGGACTTTCACGGCCTTGAATTTTTGTTTTCAAATTCAAGGTCTTTCAAGGATTTTCAAGTTTTGTACGAACCCTGGTCCATTAGTCCAACAAATTTAATTTTCGTATTAATACGTTTGATAGTTTTTGAGGTATATCATGCTGACAGACAAACAGACACATACATACAAACGCAGGTAAACATAACCTCTTGGCGGAGGTAATATTATATTAGGCCCTGTCACACTATTGCGTATCGTACTAACGTATGCCAGCGTACGAAAAATATCACTCATACACCGGTATACGCTGACATACGCTAAGGGTACGTTACGCATAGGTTGTTTCAAGCACGGTCGCATACGCTGGCATAAAGCGAGGCAGAAAATTTTTGTTAAGCATGCTCAAAAATTTTGTACGTATTCGGACATATGGTTTATATGATAAGCATACTCTAGGCACACGGTGAATACGCTAGAGGTACGCCAGATGTACAGTACTCATACGCTGGCATTTCAAAGGATTTTTGTGCGTATGAAAATTATTTCATTAATTTCCATACGC